AACGACATTATGGGGCTTTCTACTCATTTAATTGCAGAAGTCTCAACTATCAGTCTTTCTTTTGCCATAGGCCACTAAAGATGACTGGAGTTCTTACCAAATGCAAAGATAATAATAGAATTAAACCAGGGGCTCTTTTTGGCAAAGAAGAGTTACATTGTTTGGCATGAGATGAGTATTTTGAGCCTAACTACTGCACTGAGAATACCTTATCTACCCATCCATGGCTAAACTGTTGGTGGTTTGAATTTACTACTTATTTGCTTCAGGAACTATGCTAAACCGACCAATCACCCCAAGCAGAATGGAGACCATTAATGGCTATCGAACAACCTATAGTGCGCAGCATTACAATAAAGGAAGACAACAATATCCGTGAGCAAATGATTAATTAATCTATTATTTTTAGTTAACTTTTATCTGTTTATCGACCATTAAGACTTAAAACGTCAATAATACATAGCAAGCAAGTAGAAATGGTTTTGGCTTGACTTCGTTTTCACAATTTGGTCGGAGTGACAGGAAGACTTTGTGGAACTTACCTAGTCTTGTGTCCTCTGACATATTATACATGATAATTTCCAGCATCGAATCGGTGACTAGGAAATTGTAGTAGGGGATACAGGACTATGTACGTTCCACAAGGTCTCCCAATCGCTACGACGAAATTGCGGAAACGAGGTCAAGCCAACAGCATACAGTTAAATGAGATTGCGACCAAATCTAAAGCCACCCCATGTTTTGGTTTTCATATGCTGCTTGCTCTGGAGTCGTGGTCATGTAAATTTTGCTACATTTCTTCCAGAACCTCTCCAATGTAGACAATGATAAGCGGACTTTAAACTCTAGACTGACCAATACTGAACAGGTCATAAAAACAAAAGTTTTTTTTGAGGAAGGACTAAAGAGAGCGATAGAAATGAAAGGGGAGATGGAGATAAGGTTGGTAAATATACATATATACATATATATATATGCATATATACGTAATTCATTAAACAAGGTTTAGTCTGGGCTTTTTGAAGCATATGTTGCCTCTAAGTTTTAAGATAGATTTATTCTGAGGGTTATCGCAAATGCTTTTGAATTCAGGCTGATGGCTACTGATTTTATTAATATAATATAAAATTGAACGATATTTATTTTTCATACTTTAATAATTCCAATTTCATTTACCAACGAATAGATTCCGTTAGATCAGGGCGAAAAGAATTTTGGCTGCTTTGGGCATTCCAAACTAAAATAATGAGGCGCTACTTTGACGTTATTTAATGATGACATGATTTTATTTTGAAGGAAAAGTTATTGGGAAAGAATTCGTGATGTGTTCTCACCAGAAAATCAAGGGGGATTGTCGCGTGATGAAGACTGGTGAATTGCGCGAAGAAGTCCTCGGCTCACCGTCCTGCGACCCCGATGAAAGTGTGCTAAGCTTTCGTT